GGGGGGGGGGGTTTACAGTATAAATAACCCGTACGAGTACCGCCACCTACAGCACAACTCTGGAAACACACGCAGACACCAGCCTCAATAGCTTAGAAATGTTTTGTTGTTCAGTCGCACAGTCGAGTCCGACTCTTCCCGAATAGGGTTCGGCAAATTCAAGGGAGGGAAACGGTCCAGCTAACATCAATTGTTCATTCCCCTCCACCCGATGCCCAGCATACTCCTGACCAGTGTTCCCTCTAAGCTGAGTTAGTGTGAGCTAGATCAGTTTTTTAGCCTCCGGCTCACACATTTTTTGTCTTCGCTCCGGAAGGACGGCTCCAGAGCAAATTAATTTATGCAGCAGCCAAATCGCTCGCTCGCAACTTTAATGCCAGTAGCTCACAAGGTAGAATTTCTGCTCACAAGACTCCACAGCTTAGAGGGAGCATTGCTCCTGACTGCCTTCTACAATCTTTCCTGTACAAACGAAGCTTCACTTTGGGTCCCTCTCAAGTTTCCCTCTGACCTCCAGAACTCTTTAGATGCAAGTATAAGCAAGATTTAATCCAGGAGAAGGACTCAAAAGGCCTTTGCTTACTGGTTTGTTTCACTTATTCCCTGCCTTTCTCCCCTACGGGGATCCAAACGGCTTACATTATTCTCTTCTCCTCCATTCTATTCTCAAGGCGACCCTATGAGGAAGGTTAGGCTGAGGGTGTGTGAATGGCCCAAGGCCACCCAGTGAGCTTCTATGGGAAAACAGAGATTCGAACCTGAGTCTCTCGGATACTAGTCCAGTGCTCTAACCACTACACCACACCGGCTCTTCGCTTGAGGCAAGGGGAGTTCTTGCCCTCCATACAAACTGTTGTTCTGCCCTCCATACAAACAGAACACACTGAGGAGCTGCCTTGCTGAAGTGCATCCCCCCCAACGGTTGCCTTGATGTGTTAATATTCCTGTAGCTCAGGCCATCTGCCTGTTTTAAACCCCGGTCCCTTTCCCAACTGACCCCCAAAGGGCTGCCACAAGGAGCATTGAAATGCAGCTCTGTCGACGAAACGTGCTTAACACCAACTTAGAAAGCATTTTGGTTCCAGGTTTTTGTGCTGCTGTTCTCTTAAATGCCGAAGGCTGGTTATTAATGTTCCAGCTCAGGCTCTGAGCGACAGAAATTCAGTGCACGGGGGGCTGGAAAGGAAGCTGAGCCGTGTCCTCAAAAGCGCAGTCATTTCAGGCCCTGTGTCTTTGCCTTACATAACGCTCTGCTGGGGGGACCTGAGCTTCAGACGATCGTGCTCATTAAAAAAAACCCTTTGAAAAACCTCTTCATTCCCAAACACTGAGGCCACGGCTGTTCCCTTTGCATTCCGCAAAGCCTCCTCTCTGAAAGCGCACCCAACTGGAAGCGGAACGTGCCACTTTATAAAGGCAAAGCGACAGAGGTGATGCCTTTGCCATTCCAGCTGGGTGGAAGGAGGACCCCCGTCTACGGATCGGGCCAAAAGGCACATCCGCTCCAGCATTCTGTCCCCGACAACTGTTGACCAGAGGCCTCTTAGAAGTCTTCAGGCAGGGCATGGAAGGGATAGTTACTCTCTCCCATTTGCTACCACCAGCTGGTGCCCAACAAGCCTCTGAACCAGGAAGCTCCATTCTTTGCTACAGTTAACAGCTGCAGAAAGCGCTTGACCGCTGTCAGCTCACCTGGTATGTTTTCATCCTATTCTTCCTCCATGGAACAAAGTTTGAGCCCAGTGGCACCTTTAAGACCAGCAACATTTAATTCCGCATGCACACAAGAGCTTCTACCCAGAATTAAACTCTGCTGGTTTTAAAAGTGCCACTGGACTCAAACTGTGTTCTCTTGCTTCTGACCAGCACGGTGACCCACCTGAATCTACTTCCTCCACGGAGTTCAGAGGGGCTTATGTGGCTCTCCCTTCCTCAACTCATCCTCACCACCAGCCTGTGCCGTATTTGTTAGGCCAAGTGAGAGCAGCTGGGGAGGTTCAGGATGGCGTGGAAATTCGAACCCAGGGCTCCCTGATCCCACAGACAGACACTCAAACCATCACGCAACCAGGCCCGTACGCACGGGGGTGGCCTATGAGTGCCCGGCTCTCTCCCCAAACAGCAGTGCCTCCCCCCCTTTCCCCTCTCTGTGAAGTGCCCGCCTGGCTTGCCAGGGGAAGAGAAGCACGTCTCAGCCCGAACTGCTTCGGGAGGCGCAAGACGAAGTTCCTGTCTTGGCTCTCCCCTCAGATTGCCCGCAAAGGTTGTGTGTGTGTGTGTGTGGGAAGGGGATGCGAGGAGAATAGCCCGTTGGCACCAGTGTTCCCTCTAAGCTGAGGTAGTGTGAGCTAGCTCAGTTCTTCAGCCTCCAGCTCACACATTTTTGTCTTCGCTCTGGAAGGATGGCTCCAGAGCAAACTGATTTAGGCAGTAGCCAAATCGCTGGCTCACAGCTTTAATGCCAGTAGCTCACAAAGTAGAATTTTTGCTCACAAGATCCCACAGCTTAGAGGGAGCACTGGTTGGCACCAGGGGTTAAGGGGCTGCTCAGGGGGGTTATTGTCCTGCCGTTGCTGATGCTAGCTAGCCAACGGAATCAGGTGGTTCCGGTAAAACCTCGAGGGGCTCTCCCAGCTACTTCGGCGACGTTTGCCAGACATCTTGGATCTTCTGGGGGTAGGCTTTGATTCCCCAGCAACGCACAGTGCTCCGGAGAAAACACAACTCCCTGACCTTTCTTCATTATTTCAGAACTGTCCCAGGTGCTGCTCACCCCCCCCAATTTTTACCTGTCAACTCTTACCTAGCCCTGTCTCTCTTCCTCTGTACTTCCCTATCAACCACCACCCTGTGATGTCGTCGGCTCCGCTGTACTAAACTGCTCCCCTTGGGGCCCCCCTAACAAAAAGTTTTCTGGGCATGGGGCTGCACGTAAGTCTGGCACTTAGTTACTTAGTGACAAGGGTCACTTTGAGGGATCTGCCCAAAGCGAGCTCACCCAGAGCCATGTTCTGTATCTCGCTAGCTGTGGCCAGGGAGATGCCTCTGGGAAACACCAAGAATCATATGGACCGCTGTGATCATCCATCCCACCCTCTAGTCCTCTGATTCCGCTTCAAGAGCGTGTTCACGGTGAACATGTAACGCAGATAGAACAAAAACAGCCTCTGAAGCTGGCGGCTGGAGGGCAGATGGTGAACAGCCACACCAGGGAAGGCAGTTGGGAAACCCTACCTCACCCAGCCCACCCTTCTGGATTCTGTGGTGGGTTCGGGCGGATTAACACTCCCCCCACCGCCCCTTCTATCAGCTCTCAGTTGCTCTCAACATACGATTCCTTCAAGGAGCATGATTGGTCTTTATCAGGCCATTTTGGGAGTCCCCCCACCACATCTGGTTAAGTTACAAAGAGGTATTTTTTTCAACACATCAGAGAGATCGCCCCTAATACACAGAAAACCCTCCCTTGTCTGTGGGTGTCCCTACTGTGCTTTTAACAATCTCTCTCTCTCTCTCTCTCTCTTTTAAGACAGAAAAAACACACAGTACTTTAACTCAGAATCTTAATCTGGGGAGATTGGTATCGGGAGTTGAGAACCTTTGAAAGCCTATACCATGTAAACGTTCAGAAGACCTGAAACACCCACAAATTCTTCTCTGGGATCATGACGTGCTTTTGGGGCAGAGAACACCTGTACTCCAGGGTGGGGGAACCTTTCCATTCAACGGGGGTGGGGGTGGGCAGATTGTCCTTTGGTCCAGTCGAGAGGCACTCACCTCTAAGTAGATCTGAGAGTGGAGGGCCGCAATCCTCAGGAATCGTACAGTCCCCTTTCCCAATGTTTTCAAATAACTTATAAATATTATCCCCCTCAAAGGGATAAAGGCCGGTTGTAATGTTGTATCTGCAAAGAGGAAAGAAAGCAAAAGAGCGCTGACGGAAGAAGGGAGGTTGACGGAGACTCAGAAAAGTGGTCTTCCCTTCTCCCGTGTACCCTCCACACCCTTTCCGAAAGAGATGGAGAAGCCTTTGAGTTCCACCCCCCCACCTCTGCATCTTCCTCCCAATCAACGGAACTGTTTTAGAGCGACATGGAAGGAGAGAGAGAGAGAGGGCTGGGGGTGTGATGGCCAAATTGGCGAAACAAAAATACTTGGGGGGGAGGCGACTCTCTTTGCTAAGCTGAATCCCGCCCCTCCATTAGGCTCACCAGGTCTGGCCATCCCACCACCTTGAAATTAGAACAGAAGAAGTTGGGGGTCATTTCATTTTCTCCTGTCTCCCCCTTCCCTACAGAATATGCAGTACAACGATAAAGAGAGTTATACTTTTTCTAAAACAATTGATTTCAGGGGATTTAGAAGGGATGAGCAGGGAAACTGCAAGGACTTGAAGAGGTCTTTTATTTCCCCTTTCTCTCCTCCTGGCAGCCACCATATCCTTTCCCCTCACCCTGCTTCCTTCTCACCCTCCCACACACCAACCCACCTTTATCTACCCCCCCCCTTTTCAGCTTTCCCATCTTCCCCCCTGACAGTGTCTCCCTTTCTGCTTCTCTCCCACCCACCTACCCCTTTCTGATCTCCCCCCTCCCTGCTTCCTTCCCTTCTTTCCATCTTTTACCTTTTTAGCACCCCCACACCCTTCATTGAGACCAAGACTATCTGCAAAATGGCCAAGATCTCAGTACCAATGTCCCCCCCCATCATACAGCAGGCAGGTTACACAGAAACCAGAGTACAAATGGCAGTTTACTGACACAATGCTCCCTCTAAGCCCTGGAGTGAGCAAAAATTCTACTTTGTGAGCTACTGGCATTAAAGTTGGGAGTGAGTGATTTGTCTACTGCATCAATTAGCTTGCTCTGGATCCATCCTTCCTGAGCCAAGTCAAAAATGGGTGAGCCGGAGGCTAAAAAACGGTGAGCTAGCTCACACTAACTCAGCTTAGAGGGAACACTGGTCAGTACGCAGTCTCATGAGATCTCTGTATGAATCTTTTAAGGCTACAGATGCACCTTCTATGATCTGGGTTTTTAAAACCACCAATACATTAAGATTGCAGAACTGTGTCAAATAAGGCTTCCCCATGGTTGTGTCTGTCTTCTGCTCCCACAGACTTACAGTGTGACCCCCGCTGACCAAATGTCCACTTTGAAGCCAGAAAAGGTATCAAGGCCATTGGCGATTTCTGGAGGCTGGAAAGCTGGTGACCCCTGACTCGTCCGGCACACATCATCCTCTGCAAACGGATGCAATGCCTATAGCGGAGGAATAATGAAGGAGGATCAGACTGGTCAAATGGGTGGGTTTACAGCATGTAGGAGCGGCAGATTAAGTCCAGGTTTCCTCCCTGCAACCAGCCCTGACAGTCAATGAAGAGTCAAAGAAAGGCTTCTTGGCCTCCCCCCTGGACTGGATTGATATCCAGTCTACAGGAGAGCCAATGAACAATCTGAGGTTCCTCCTCTTCCAATCCGCCCTCCTTTTAAAAAGAGCCCCTTAAAAACATATTTACGTTACTCCAAGATCTGAGAACCCCAGGAAGAGCTCTCTCATGTATTTCAATACAAAAATAATAAAGAGATAAACTTCCTTAGAAATTGCCTGTATGTATGCCAAGAGCCATTCTGTTTAGTTTTTCAAGACACAGATAGCTAGTTTTTAAAGTTTCTGGTTTTCTCCTCTCCTTATTTCATAAGACATGGGTACATTTCCCCCAGAATTCCCAGTTGTTGAGGTTGTTAAAAAAAAAAATCCCTGGTCTCCACAAATACCAGAGAAAAGCGTTCCTGCTATTCTCTGGGGGTTCTGCTCCTTCATGAAAGTAAGGTAAAGGTAAAGGTTTCCCTTGCTCGAAAGCCAGTCGAATCCGACTCTGGGGGCGGTGCTCATCTCGGTTCCCAAGCCAAAGAGCCAGCACTCTCTGAAGACATTTCCGTGGTCATGTGGTCGGCATGACTAGACGCCGAGGCACACAGAACGCTGTTACCTTCCCACCGAATAGAGTGGTTCCTCAGTGGAACAGGCTTCCATGGTGGGTGATGGGCGCTCCTTCTTTGGGGATTTTGAAACAGAGGCTAGGTGGCTATCTGACAGCAGTGCTGATTCTTA